AACACAACTAAAGAAACAAAGCAAAATGTGAATGTCGTACACCAAGCAGTTTCCTTAAGAACACGACAGGCCAAGAGACCTCAGAACAGCAGATGCTTGGAAACCAGGACACAGACTTGCTCAGATTAACACAGACATGGGCGTTATGAACATTTATTTCTCTTTATGTCTCCGAGTGACTCTTGCGTTAGTGACATCTGCAACATCTGAAAAGAGCTGGCAATCGTGTTTGTAGAACATGTCTCCCATCTCCCACCACTAATCATGGATTCTATATCACATTCTGCTGTTCCTCTTTCTTCCTTGTTCTTTTTTAAAACTTTTTATATCGTTATTTCTTACAAAGAGATCTATGCTTCACCTGATAATAAAACAATTTCTGCTATCAAAGCTTAGAATTAATACAACTTTGACAGGAAATGCTATATTAGGGATAAAACAGGCTTGTTGAGAAATCTGTACGTCCTGTGTGCATGCATGTGTGCTCAGTCATGTCTGACTCTGCGATCCTATGGACTGTAGCCCGCCAGGCTCCTCTGTCCAAGGGGTTCTCCAGGCAAGAATACCAGAGTGGGTTGCCATTTTCTTCTCCAGGGGATCTTCCCAACCCAGGGATCGAACTCACATCTCTTGTGTCTCCTGCAGTAGAAGACAAGTGTTTTTTTAACCAGCTGAGCCACCCGATGTATGTATAGGAAGCCCGAACATTCAGCAGAGAGCTCATATTTTCACTTTGGCCCCTGACATTGGCTTTAGCAGTGAGGGAATGCAGGGTGTCTTTTCACATTATAAAGGTTTTTGAGGTTTTTGTGCATAAAATGTGAAAATGAACATGGAATCTGACACAGTGGGACCGTGAGTTCCACCTCCGCACTCTGCAAGGGGTGCAAACAGCAACCAGGAAGAAAGGGAGGAAGGAAGAGAGAAAGACACAGAGCCTCCAAATAGTCCTCTGAAGGCAGGTTCCTACGGGGCTCCAGGGAGGAGTAGTCTCACATTAAGTGGCGTTGAAAGCTTTAGTTATTGATTATAAGGAAATATATGGCCTTCGTAGTATAGATCTTAAATATGATATGTAATTGCATATACACTACTGAGACTGTGACATTATTATATTGTTATTATCACCTATGAAAGAATGGGTTTCCCTGACTGCTTAGCCAACAAAGAGAGGGAAGGCACATGTCCAAGGGAGAAGAGATGGTCAAGAGAGAGTCTTCGGAGATGCTAGGAGGAGAATCATGGTTGAGGGCCTGCTGTTGGCTCACTGTATCCACAGCTCTCTTCCAGATGGAGAAACAAAAGCTGAAAGAGCGGAAGCAACTGATCCGACAGAAGGCAACGAGTTAGTAACTCTGGGTTCAGATAGAAGATGACTCTGCACCCAAGCTCTTCATGACCAAGTCTCAGAGGAGGGATTTCCAAGAAAAAAAAAAAGCGGGCTGTGGCTTGGTTTTGTGATGTGGCAGTTAAATGGTTCAGTGTAAACAGAGACGTGTATAAAATGTAAAGTTGAGGATCAGGATGGAGAGATTGCTCACCTAATAACATCTATTTTCCTGCTCAGGTTGAAGGCAAAATAATATGGAAAGTGTGTCGAGACAAATAGAGGTGTGATGAGCTTGGGAACTTTAGCAAATTATGCTCGTTTGGAACAGCCTTGGGAAGCATTCAGTTTTACCTGGACCATTCTTGGGGGAAACCTCTAACAACCTAGCTTACCTTTTCATTGGTTTTAATACCACAAGTGAAAAAATGTCCCCCAAATAAGGATGGCTTCCAGGAATTCTGTTCAGCCATGAATTTTAAAAGGTTTTTTACATCATTTGATGAAAAGAATTTTGCAATGGATATGGCAGACCTATCTCACAAGCCTTATACTGAGGGATTATAATAAACTACAATGTAGAATTTTCATTTACAGGGAATGAAATTTTACTTCTGAAAGTTACATTAACATGATACAGGACATAATTTAATTCACATATATCACACTTGACTATAACATTCACCCTTCTAGAAAAAAATATTGCTGGAAGTATATTCCAAGTATTATTCATTGACTATGTGGTTAACAGTTAAGGTAGCAAGCTTGTCTCCAGGTGACTTCCAGTTTGGGTTTGAAGAAGCCCTCTGTGAATGTTTTGAATCCCATGGAGCTGTTTACTAAACAACAGATCAAATGGGGGAAAGGAAGACGACTGGATCTTTGATGAAGGTGTCAGAAGACACCAGCTCTGCTCGGCGTGGAGCAGGAGCTAGCAGATGTTTAGAATCCTGGGTGGAGCACTCACCTCCCACTGCGTGGGAGGCAGGGCCCATCTCGGGTTTCTACAGGGGAGGAACCCTCGCTTGGGAGACAGGGAAGCTCTACATGGCCCAGCTCACATCCATCTGGAAGCTTTTTGGCAGCTCTGATTTCCACTGGGTAAAAAGGATATGGGGGAAACTAAGAAATATTCCAGAAGAATTTGTAACGTGACATAGAAATTAGAATATTAGAGCCATAAGATGATAATATAGAAATTCATGCCATGTTGGTAGAAGAGCAAATTCTAAAAATGTTCTCAGGCCCCTGTGCCCTCAAATGGGAAGCACATGGTACAGGAAAAAGTGAAGCCCCCAAAACAGCTGGCCTTGAACGCACACCCCTCTTAGGCCGGAGCAGTAGCAGATGGCAGGATCTGCCTGTTGTGCTGGTATTGTTTTTGTTGTTTTCATGCGTTAATAATTAGATGCTGACAGCATGCTTGGAGCTGCTCTGAGTTTAGAACACAGAACTGCTTGGATCCCTTGGGCTTATCACTTCAGTAAGAGGAAGACCCTTGAAAACATCAATGTAGAAGATTTAATATGTTATAAATCAAAGGGATATATGTTATAAATCAAAGGTTATTGCCTCTTCAGGTTGCATTTTCTTCTTCACGTTTTCTTTTAATTTTCCTGACCTTCAGTTCGGGGTAGGGGAAGAACAGCCAGATGGCTCACTGAGGAAAGCAGATCCCAGGAAATTATGGGGGAGATGGAAGGAGGGGACCTTGGTGGATTCAGAGGAGAAGAGTGACTTCAGAGTAAAGTGGAAGAATATTGGACACCGAACACGGTGGGGGCTACCTGGGATGAGAAGGCAGTGACAAGGGGTCAAGGGGAGGCCCTTCTGAGTGTGAAGTCCACATATGAGCACAGGAATGATTTTATTCACATGGCTAAATAGCCCCTGGATGAAAACAGAGTCTTTGCAATGATATATGATCATCAGGAGGGCTTCCCCGATGGCTCTGTGGGTAAGAAGCTGCCTGCCAATGCAGAAGATGTGGGTTTGAGCCTTGAATCAGAAAGATCCCCTGTAGGAGGAAATGGCAACCCACTCCAGTTTTCATGCCTGGGAAATCCCATAGACAGAGAAGCCCAGAGGGCCACAGTTCTTAAGGTTGCAAAGAGTCAGGCACAAGTGAGCAACTGAGTCCTCACACACGTGATCATCAGGAAGAGGCAGAGATTATGCAAAAGGGGCCACAGATGTGGAACTAAACCAAAGATTGGAACTGAGTCCAGGAAATGTGTGCACTGTGAAGGGTCATTCCTTAATCTGGCCATGGAATGACGTCCAAGGGGCCATGAAGCATCCATGTTTCATAATCCTACCTGGACCAGTGGGACAAGTAAGGGGTTAGTTCTTTCAGATCTCATCCTGGCCAGCTCAGAATCAAACTCCATCTCAGACCGAACAGCTAGTTTCCGTGAAACAACTTATCTTTCTAGGACTCGAGTTTTTTCATCTGCAAATAAGGTACTGTTACTTCGAAAGAGTAAATCTTTTACCCTGAGCACAAACGTGTATAGACAGCAATACTAAAGAAATGTCATCTTATTCTTCCCAAATACCCTATAAGGGAGGTGTTAATAATATTATTCTCCCCCTTTTCAGGTAAGGTTGGTTGGAGCCAATAAAATGGCAAGTTTCACAAGCCAGGAGAGTTCAGACTTTTTTCAAGAGGCAATAAAAAATCATCAAAAGTTGTTCATCAGAGAAAATTTTTTCTGTGAAACAACATAGTGTTAGTGCACTGCACATATTAAAGAGGAAAAATACAGCAGGAAGAGCAGGTAGGAGATTATTATAACAGTCCAAGCACCAGGGGGACATGCATATGATTTGATACCTACTAGGATTTAATAATGACACCACTGAACGACTTCACTTTCACTTTTCACTTTCATGCATTAGAGAAGGAAATGGCAACCCACTCCAGTATTCTTGCTGGAGAATCCCAGGGACGGTGGGGCCTGGTGGGCTGCCGTCTATGGGGTCGCACAGTCAGACACGACTGAAGCAATTTAACAGCAGCAGCAAGATTTAATAATAATAATAACGAGGTTGTGGAGAAGTTGGAACACGTGCATTTCTTGTGAGAATGTAAAATGTTGCAGCAGCTATAAAAAAATTTAACAGTTTAGTTGTTCCTTGAGAGCAGGAGAAGGGAGCAACAGAGGATGAGATGGTTGGATGGCATCATTAACTCGATGGACATGAGTTTGAGTGGGCCCCAGGAGATTTTGAAGAACAGGGAGGCCTGGCGTGCTGCAGTCCATGGAGTCACAAAGAGTCAGACACGACTTAGCAACTGAACAACAACAAAGAGCTAAACATAGACTGTCACGGCCCAGCAATTCCACCCCTATGTATATGCCTAAAGGAATTGAACGCAGGGCCTTGAACAGGCCTGTACACAATTGCTCATTGCAGCATTATCACAACAACCCGAGTGTCCATCCGTAGATACGTGGATGAACAATATGTGGAATACATATACAATGGAATACTCCAGCTGTAAAAGGGAATGAAATTCTGAAATGTGCTACAGCGTGGATAAAGCTTGAGAACACTACGCTGAGTGAAATAAGTCAGACGAACAAAGGAAATGTTACATTACTTCACTTATATGATGTCTCTGGAGAACAGGAAAGTTGTTAAAGACCGAAAGTAGATTACAGGTTACCTGGGGCTGAGGAGAGAGGGGTCGGTGTGGGGGAATTATTACTTAATGGCTTCAGAGTTCCTGTTCAGATGATGGAAAGGTCTGGAACTAAACGATGCTGACGGTTGCATGACATCACGGATGTAGTCAATGCCACTTAGTTGAAACTGAAAAATGATTAAAGTGGTAAATTTTATGTTAAATATATTTTACCACATTTTGCAAGCTAATGATGTAATATACCAAAAAGCATTGACTTGTACACTTTAATGGGTGAATTGGACACTAGGTGAATTATTAAATCTCAGTGAAGCTGCTAACAAGAGAGAGGGGAGGAAGGGAGACTCAGGGTAGAGGCAGTGGGAATAAAATGAAACAACATGCTTTTCCGGACTGAGAATTGATGACTAATAGAAGTTAGAGAATAAGAGGTGAATCATCTCCATGAGCAGGAATAGGACATCGAAGAGGAGACGCCACATGTCTGGGGAAGTAAGGGGGCCGTTCTGGTCCCTCTGCTTTAAGAAGGAGGCAGAGAAGGCGGGGGCAGGAGGTGGAGGTTAAAACCAGAGAGGCGGAGAGGTGGGGACCGGCGGAGGTCATGTGCACAGAAGTCCCAGCTGCAGAGATAGGGTGAGACTGTCGACTGACGACACTAGTGAACCTTGCTAACAGGGACATGGGAGCAGCAAGAGGGCTCAGAGATGAGCAGAAACAGGTGATGCTCAGAGACACAGAGAGAGAACAAGGATATGTCGGGAAGGACATGGTGAACTCACCCAAGTGTCAGGAGCGAGGATGCTGAGAAGCTGAAAGATCCTCCAGTGTAACAAATTGGAGATTGCTGACGACATCCTTAGAAATGATTTCAGCTGTGTTGTGGAGAAGAAGTCAGATTTTTTTTAAAAAAAATTAAATAATTTGAGTAAATAAGGGTCAATGTCTTTGGAAAACCTTATATGATGTGAATCATATAAGTGGGATGCTACAGCACTGGGGGGACAGTTGTACAAAAAGTAGCTTTATTTTTAAGTCCTTCTTTGATTTTAAGAAGGAAGTGTCATCTGTTTGGGAATTTGGAAAACTTTGACAAATGTAGAGTAATAATGGTTTGAAAGGAACGAATGAGGAACGGATTTTGCGACAGGGTGAGAGGGTTACTGAAAAGGACCATTCCCTGAAAGAAATAGAAGTTGGGATCAATTCCCCTAGGGGAGTCAGGGGAACTTTAGGGGACCCCTAGGGGACCTTTGCCAACAAAGGTCCGTCTAGTCAAAGCTATGGTTTTTCCACTAGTCATGTATGGATGTGAGAGTTGGACTATAAAAAAAATAAGCTGAGCACTGAAGAATTGATGATTTTGAACTGTGGTGTTGGAGAAGTCTCTTGAGAGTCCCTTGGTCTGCAAGGATATCCAACCAGTCCATCTTAAAGGAAATCAGTCCTGAATACTCATTGGAAGGACTGATGCTGAAATTGAAGCTCCAATACTTTGGCCACCTGATTCGAAGAACTGACTCATTGGAAAAAACCCTAATGCTGGGAAAGATTGAGAGCAGGAAGAGAAGGGGATGACAAGATGAGATGGTTGGATGGCACAACTGAGTTTGAGCAAGCTCCAAGAGATGGTGATGGACAGGGAAGTCGGGCATGCTGTGCAAGTCCATGGAGTCACAGAGAGTTGGACACGACTGAGTGACTGAACTGAACTGAGAGGAGTCAGACCTGGCAAAGAGAGTTGGTACTTACTGTCCCAGGGGCTGGTGGTAGGGGTTACGGAGGGTGGAGAAGAGCTGGTCCCAGGAGGCAGGGGTGGGGACGATGGCTCCCAGGATGGACACACAGTAGGATGTATGGGCCATGGGGTGTCTATGGGGGGTGTCACCACACCCCAGAGCAGCCAGGCCTTTGTGAGGTCAAGATCCCATCACTAGTCATTGAGTTCTCACAACCCGATCCCAGGGCCCGGTCTGTGGTCTGAGAAGGAGGCCATCAGCCCACCTAGAAGAGAGCCCACCTAGAAGGACACACATGACCGCCCTCCTATAACAACCCTCGTGTCCAGGCTCATTCCCCACTGCCGTCCAGCGTGAAGGCTGCACCGTGGCCAGGCCCTTGCTCCCCGAGAATATCACCCCCTGTTGACGCTGCTGACACCCCCACCTCCTCCAAGACTAACCCTGTCCCATGACACATGGGGGTCGCAGTCAGGAGACTTTTCTGATACAGAGTGACCAGTCCTCAAGCCATGCCCCCTCTCCTCTACATCTTTAGGTACATATTCTCTCCTGTGTTATTGCTCGTGCTCTGAAAAAAATCCCCCTGTCTCCTCAACAGTACTGAACACGTCTGAAAGCAAGAAGTCTGTCTGTTCCTTAGCACAGGCCAACCATCAGGAGAAAGACTTGTGCAAACGCGAACTTGTGTGAGGACAGTTTCCGACCCTGCAGCGCCTGCTGGGAGCCGCTCACACGTGTGTCCCAGGAAGCACCCTCGTGCTAGAAATGGACCGTCTTAGACACATGGCCTTGTCCCACTGGCCTTCAGGACAGAGTCTGTTTCTTCAGAAGAGTTTAATCCATGATGCTTTGAGACTTCTCAGCTCTATGGCCCCTGACTGCCCTACCCCAGCCCACTGAAGACCTCTTGTCAACAGAGACAAGAAAAGTAGGAGAAGCCAGACAGGGAGGAAAGAAGAAAAATGAGAAGGGAATGAAGGATGAAAGAAAGAAAGAGAGAGAGGGAGGGAGGAAGGAGGAGAGAGAGAAAAAGAAAAGAGAGAAGGGGGAAGGGAGAGGAGGAAAGAGGGAAAGAAAATGAAAAAGAAGCAAACACACCGGCCCCCTTGGATGAAACACCGGCTGTGCGGGGCAGCCTCAAGCCCCACCACCGCCAACCCCGCCAGAAACATCAGTTCCTTGTGGGACCGGGACCAAAGTGTGAGGGTGGGTCCATTACACCCTCCAACCTGTGGCCCACATGCCAGCCTCACGCACAGATGGAAAAGTGATGCGCTGTGCACGGAGCAGGGAGCCGGCTCCAGGGCTCCGCTCGTTCCAAGGCTGATGTCTCCCTCTGGTCCTCCTGCCAAGAAAGTGAGAAAGCTCAGACAAGCCTCTGGGCCCAGCCAGCTGAGCTCAGCGCACAGGCAGCAGCCAAGGACACACAGGGCTCGTCCTGCTGCTCAGCCAGGACGGGTGGGCAGGCCAGCAGCGAGCTGGGTCCCCGGCTTCCAATGCTGCCCACATGGGGTTCGTCGGGGTGACCAGCCCGTGTTCTCCCTGCCAGGCTCCCAGATGCTCTCCTGTTTCAGGATCCGACCTCATGGGCTGAGGCAAGCCCTGACCTCAGGCATAGTGTTGGGTCCGAGCACCGGTCCACATGTGACCTCCCCAGGGCTCTGGATTTCTGCTCCTCCACCCAGGACAGAACTGACTCGAGCGTAGGATTCTTCTGGCAGCCTGCTTCCCGTGTCTGTTTCAGCCCCACAAAGGGTCAAGGAAGAACATGGAGAAATCTGGACACTTTTCTGAAAACATTTAAATGAAAAAGAACTTTCTTTTCCTCCCTATCTTCCAGGAAACCATCTACCTTCACTGCTGGTGGAAAGGTGTTGTTTCCTGTGTTTTTATAATGGGCTCCACGCACCTAGACGTGACCCATGTTGGGACCGGGTGGTGTAGGGGTGGGGAGTGGCGGGCAAGCCTGCGTCTTGATTGCCTCAGTTCCCTGGAATCTTCGAGGATAAAAGCAGGAGACACTGGGGTTCGTGTCTTGTGCTTCCCTCTGTATCTGTTTTTCAGGGCTGCCATAACAAATCACCGCAAACTTGGTGGCTTAACACAACAGCGATGTGTGTTCTCACAGTTCTGGAGGCCAAGTCCTAAATCAAGGTGTCAGCAGGGCCGGCTCCCTCTGAGGCTCCAGGGAGGGTCCTCCCTGCCTCCTCCAGCTCCCGGGGCTCCAGGCGTTCTTGGCTCATAGGCGCATCACCCCAGTCTCTGCACCAGCCCCCCACCTGCTATCACATGGTCTCCTCCCAGTGTCTCTGCCTCTTCCCCTTCTCTGTCTTTTAGGACATTTGTCACTGGTTCTAGGGCCCTCCCAGATCCAGGACGACCTCATCTTGCAAACTGGACCTCATCATATCTGTGCAGAACTTGTTCCAAATAAAGTCACTTTCTAACGCTCTGGGCGGACATAGTTTCTGGAGGAAGAGCGCCAGTCAAGCTCCTGGAACCACTCAGTGCTGTGTGACCGTGGATAAGTGATGAGATTACCAAGACAGAGGGTTTTTAATTTAAAATTTTAATTGTTTGAAATAAATACTTTGATCATCAAGAAAATATTGTAATGGACATTTATAGACTCACAATGCAGATTAAAGAAATGTTAGCATTTCCCAGTTTATGAATTATATTTTATAAAATACGTTATATTTTTGTATATTATCTTATGACTTGTTATAGATATAACTGTCCATCTCATCCTCTGTATACTCTACCCCAGTATAATCATTATTCCTGATGTATGTTTGCATGCATGCAGAGTATATTATGACAAACGCTGGGCTGGAAGAAGCACAAGCTGGAATCAAGACTACCAGGAGAAATATCAATAACCTCAGATATGCAGATGACACCATCCTTANCTCTGGGAGTTGGTGATGGACAGGGAGGCCTGGCGTGCTGTGATTCATGTGGTCACAGAGTCGGACACAACTGAGCAACTGAACTGAATTGATGTTTGCATACACTGCAATTTACTTTTATTGATCATTATTTATTTTAGCAATATATATATATTTTATGATACAAGTAAATCTAGTTTACTTATTTGAATTACTGTCTCAAAGACTTAGAATTAGAATTGACTTTTTCGGAAACATACTCTTAGGTAATAATTCTTGCCCTAGTCACCTCCCAGCATAGTGAAAACTAAACAAAATGATTATATGAATGGTACACACAACACAGTCTGCATGGATTATAAAGTAGGATACTTCTTATATTCTAAAATACCCACCCCCTTGATTGCTGGGCTGTGATATTGCTGCTGTCTCAAAATCATTCAGATATTGTTTCAATATGTCATCAATGTACCTTCTTTGCTAGCAGATGATACATAAATGGGCCTTTTTGAAAGTGTTTGTGGCATGTGTTAGTTGTTGAGTTGAGTCTGACTCTGTGACCTTATGGACTGTAACCAGCCAAGCCCCTCTGCCCATGGAATTCTCCAGGCAAGGATACTGGAGTGGGGAGCCATTCCTTTCTGCAAAGTGTTTACATGGATGTAAAATTGGGATTTACATTTTTTCAGATTTTTAAAAAAATTTTATTTACTTAGTTATTTTCGACTGCACTGGGTCTTTGTTGCTGCACATGGGCTTTCTCTAGTTGAGGTGTGTGCAGCTTCTCATCGCAGGGGCTTCTCTTGCTGAGGAGCATAGCCCTTGCGGCACACAGGCTTCAGTAGTTGCATATGCAGGGTCAGTAGTTGCAGCTCCGGGGCTCTAGAGTACAGGCTCAGTAGTTGTGGCACACGGGCTAGCTGCTCCACGGCATGTGGGATCTTCCAGGATCAGGAATCAAACCTGTATCTCCTGCATTGGCAGGTGAATTCTTCACCACCTGGAACACCAGGGAAGTCTGTAACAGTCTTATTTTAGCTGAGATGCTACATAAGTTTAGGTTATCTGTGCTAACATCATGACCAACTGGAAGAAAAAAGAAAAACCTCCTAATTTTCTAACTTGTTTTTGCTGGACCAGATATGGTGGCCAGGAATGATGGCTTTTGTTAAGCTACAGTCAACTCTAAGTGCCACGTCAGCAGTGTTGCTTCATCTAAATTCAGGGTACAACTGAAAACCGAGGAGAGGCAGTTAAGCCCTTAAAAGTAGCCTCACTGTTCAGGACTCTGAGTTTGTGGAGCCAGGTATTCCAGTCTCCATCTGACACTAAATTCCTCAAAGCCAGAAATACTTGGTGCATTTCACCGCAATCTCTGAGACTCTTAATTCCCCCTGGACTCTTGGTTGATAAAGAATAAAAGTGCAAAGCTGCTGCACCACTATTTATCATAAAGAAACTTGTCTTTGTTTAGGTCACTAAATATAAATGTTTAAACCCTACTAAGGTTAAATAAGGGGGAAATAATGAGAGCCAAGAAGCGAGTGGGGATGAGGAGGAGGGGAAGAGGGTGGAGAAAGAATTGTGCTAGAAACACCAGGTTAAGGAAAATCACTGTGGTTGAGCCCCCAAATTAATTCTAAACTTTCTGGCAGCAAAAGTAAAGAAGGAAGTTCAAGGCACAGCATAGTTTGAGTTATGTAACAAATGATAGCCTACTAGTTCTAGAAAAGATAAACTCTTTTTGGCACAATAAGTACTCCATAAATATCACTAGAATAAATAAGAGGCAATCTATCACACAGGTTAGAATAAGGTCTGGCTTCAACAACAACATATTCTTCATGTTCATTTCTCACACTGACCTTGAACAAAAGCACATACTGCTGAGCCATAAAGGTTTCTGTGGACATCCAAGGGTCTAAGCCCCAGGTCGAGCCATTCTTGTCCTATGATGTGATATCAAAGTAGAGAATGAATGGTTAACACAGCTCAGAATTTCCCCGTTGAAGGTTCACTTTCTTAGCTGAAATTTTGGCAAATCATAAGAAGCTGAAAAGTGATTGGACTGTAAGTATTTCTGTGTTGTTAATCGAAAGAACAGCCAAAGCATGAGATGCCAACAGTGTAGATGACAAACTGATGTATTAGGTTGGTGCAAAAAGTGTGATTTTGCACTGTTGAACTTCGCTGTCTGATACTGTAATACATACTTAAATAAATGT